CCCACGGTTCGCGGGTCGGGGAAGGCGGAGCAGCCGGGCTGGGAGGAGCGAGCCGAGGGAGCGCGGTGCCGGCGGTGCCCGCAGAGCCGGGCCGGGCCCGGCCTCGCCGTGAGGGAGCGCCGTGCCGGGACACATCCCTGGGCCGTGCAGGGAGCATCCCCACACGCTGTCCGAGGGAGCATCCCCTGCGTCCGGGGCCGGGAGGGGTGTGCGAGTTCGGCTCTCGATAGATGATGCAGGATGCCAGAGCCGAGCACAGATCGCCGCAGTGAATTGTTCACTAAATAGAATCACAGAATTATGTGGGTTGGAACCTTACAGATCATCTAGTCACAGCTCCTCTGCCAGGACAGGACACACCTTCCACTAGACCATGTTGCTCAGAGCCCCAGCCGGTGTATACTCATTGCTCAAGCAAAGTGAGAAAATCTTTGTCTCATACAGTCACTTAACTCCTCCGTGTTTGTCCTAGGAAGATTTTCAGGATAGCGGCATTTCAAAAAGATAATTTCGAAATTTCCAGTAAGTGCAAGTTCACCCTTGCCCCTGCTCATGACGAGCTGCCTGATACCTGATGTATTTATGAGAGTTTTTGATGAAGGTTGAGCAGGAAGATTTTGTAAAGCTTGTTCACCGAGCCAAGTTCTCACAGACTAACAAAGTAATTCAATTTAAAGGTAGAGGTTTGTAGCTTTCCACAAGTAGTGGCAGTTCCACACATGAAATTAAAGTCACTTGCCAACTTGCCTTTCCATGCATGTGGATCAGGGGCTAAACCCCTGTGGCTTTTCTCCTCTCTTTTCTCCCACTCACGGATGTGGACCAGAGAATGAGGGAAAATACATAAGTTTTCAAAATACAATATGTTCAGTATTTCACAGCATTCATTTTAAGACATGGCAACAACTTTTCAGTTCTATCTAGGTCCTAGAACTTTAGTAGATTTTTGTTTTTTCAAATTTTCTTGTATCTTGGATGATTTATGTTCTCCAAGTGCTTCAGCATTATGAACATAAAAGCAACCACATAAAGCAACTGGTGACTTACTCTACTTTCAGTTTTCAGTGAGTCCGTGTCCTTTAGACACACTAGGGGGTTTTCCAAAACAGTAATCTTGAGGATGCTTGCAATATGCAAGTTTTGGGTATCTGCTTATGCATATCCCTCTCTGTGTTAACTGTGTTGGTAGTACCATTGGTCATACAATTTTAAATTTGATGTATAAGGAAGATTTTGTTTCCAAAAGCAAATGATATGCAAACAACAATTACCACGAGTCTTTGCCATTAAGATGTCACTATGTTGAAAATTTATTTGCAGAACATGTTACTGTGTGCTGTGTTGATTTAATGTTTATTTACAGTGTAAAGTACTTAAACCCCAGGAAAATGATTGTGGTTCTAAAAGTGGATGTGGAGGCAGCGCTGTTGGAGCAGTGCAATGCTTCTCTTGTCCTGCCTATTCCAGTGTTCCTGGAGCTGTAGTCCTTGTGACACCTCAAACCCTAACCCTAACCCTAATGGCAGCTTGAGGACCAGGCTGAGGTCCTAAGTAAGGTAGACTAAATTTTTGATAAATCTAAGGTTTTTGTTAAATACTGCTTCTAAATGATAGAAACAGTATTTATAGCATGTGGCAGATAAATAGCTGCCTGTGGCTTACTTCTTTGAAATTTTAATTTGTGAGATTTTCCACATGGTCCTTTTCATTTTTAAGTGTTGGCTCTGACTCCTCCTTTCACATGGAAATTTCCTGAAAATCCCCACTGATAATGAGGTAAGAAAAGTCCACAGCAAAGGGAAATTTTTTTTTGTGTGTAGTATTCATAGTGGTTTGATTAGTGTTGTAATGACTATAATTTTTTTGAATTTAAAATGGGAAAAATAGTTCTGAAAGTGTAAAAGCTATGGGAATGGGCTTAGTCTTCCTTAAGCTTGCGAAATCTAGGAGGGCAGCTAGCTACTGTGTGATTAGTACATCATGATGCTGACTTGTAAAACACTTTCTGTTCCTTGTATCTCTGTAAAAGATCAAGGAAAATAACAACTGAAATTAAACATGCTTTCCAGACTGAGGTGGTATTTGCTTTTTGACATTCTTCCCTGTGGGCAGCATAGTCTGGAAAGAGCTTTTCGCTTTCTACTGTAAACAGGTATTCACACTGATGCTGAGAAGAGGCTACAAAATACATATCTTTTCTTGTGCATCTCCACCTGAAAACCAGGCCTCTTATACATAGATATACACGCACCTTTTTATATTCATGTGTATGTTTCAAAAAATTCACACTACCTGCATGTCTTTACTAATATAAAGACTTTTTTTCCCCAATTTCTTTCAGTCTTATCCTCCACCAAAAAAATTTAGTGCCTTTATTTTTATGGATATTAAGCACCAAATCTAGTTGTGGGTTTTTTTCAGTTCACCAGATTGACTGTGTTTCCACAACAGCAAGAATCTCTTTGTTGTCAAGACAAGATGTACAGATTGAAAGCATGGTTGCATGATGATGATTTTATATCTCAAACTACTTTACTGTATGTTTGCTGTTGGAATTAAACATGACAGACTCCGTTGCCTATAAAATATTCTGAAAAATTTTGGGAAATGGCTTTTTTTTTTTCTCTTAGCACTTGATAGTCTCTAAATTTTAGTGTGTCTTTGGAGCTGAATAAAAGGTTCTGTTTTAGAAAATGAGTTTTTATTCAGTAATCACAATGCCTTTGTCCCCACTTTTTATTTTGTGGATTTTTCAAGGTTTTACATAAAAAGATAAGGCATATTTGGTTATAATCACCTCGAATATTTTGCCTGAATATTTTGTACTAACCACATTGCAGGACAGTGGTAGTAACCTCTTCAATTGTGTTTGTTCTTACTGAAACAAGAATTTTTTTTCTGAAATAATGGATCAGGTGTTTAGATTCTGGCTGAGATCCTGGTTTGCCTGCTGTCACACTGGCAATGTAATGATACACTTGCTCAGAACTATTGGTAATGAGTGCTACAACCATGGAAACCAACAGCCCTTGAAATCCTCTGTGTATTCTCCTGCCAGCCTCAATCAACCCTTCCTTGTCAGTGTTTGCCACACTCTAGGTGAGCCATTCCTGAGCATGTGAACTGTTTTGGAAGTTGTTTCCTATGGTTTTAGATGTCTGTTGACACAATTTTATATTAAGAGAGCTGCATGAAAGTACTTGTACCCAGCTATTACAACATGTTGACAAAATCCAGCTGGCTGAATTGAAGAACAGAGCTGCTGAGAGCTTTTCTAGAAGTTTGGAGGGAAGGAGGGAGGGAGTGCTTGAGGTTTGATGCTTCTGAGTCACCTGGATTTTTATTTCCCTGTTGTGCTACTGTTGATGCCCATGTGGTGATGACACATCATGAGGGTAATATAAGGATAAACTCTAGTGCTCTTTTGAAGGTAACAGGCATTTTCTTTCAGCCCTAGCAGTTTAGCAAAGCTATCCCATACTTGAAACATTTCAATGTTTATTTGCTATTTCCACTCAGCTTCTTCTTTTCTCCACTTGATTGTGGGACCTGAGCACCTTTATGAAAGTGGTCCTCTTCCTAGCCCCTGGCTTTACATGAACCCAGTGAAACTTTCCATGTGGAAGTAATGAAGAGGCAAAAATTTGGCAGAGGAGGAAGGAAAAGAGGGAGTGATTTTGAAAGCTTCTCCTTAGACACAATAACACTGTGGTACTCTTCTGTACATTTACATGTGGATCCTTTGGGGCCAGGTGAAGCCCAGGTCCATCCTAGGTGCTGAATCCAATAAAAATGTGTTTGACCATTTCTTAGCAACAAGGACAACTTGCATGGGATGACTGTCATCCATCCAAAACAGAATCTGCATCAGAAGTGCCAGTTAAGAGCAGTTCCTAGCTCTGATTTCTGAACCATGGAGATTATTAGGAGAGCAGTATTTCTCATGAGCCAAAAAGGATTATTCTAATAAAATTCTTACAGAATTATCTCCTGTTGGAAGATGAGTGCCAGGCCTTGGAGCATTCCCTGTCATCTCCAACTTTACAAGCACAGGTAGTATTAGGTATTCAGTGCTCTTCTGCATTCAGGATTAGTCTATGTGCATTTTTTTATGCTGAGTATTTCCCCAAATACTTCAGCTTCCCCCTTTCGCCTACTCCTAGGTTATAACCTTTATTTTGGTTTTCAGTCTAAAGTGTTGCTCTTCTTGGTGTTTCTCATAAAATTAATTCACCTGAGAGAAAGCTGAAAAATTTTCTTTCAGCAGTGACTTGGAGCAAGTTTTTTTTTCCCTTTAATTTTCTCTTTTAAAATTTAAACTATTCTACAAGTGCAGCATATTTGATGCAAAGCCAGCAGGTCAGGAGAGGTGATTCTGCCCCTCAGCTCTGCTGTGCTGAGAGCCACCTGGAATGGTGCATCCAACTCTGAGATCCCCAGCACAGGAAAGACATGAACCTGTTGGAGTGAGTCAAAGGGAGGCCAGCAAGATGATCAGAGGGATGGAACACCTCTCTCACAAGGAAATGCGAGGGAATTTGGTTTGTTTAGCCTGGAAAAGTAAAGGCTTTGGGGTATTTTCAGCCTTCCAGTACCTGAAAGGACTGTTCAAGAAAAATGAAGAGGGACATTTTATAAGAGCATGTAGTTACAGGGGATATGGAATCAAATGGAAAGAGAGTAGATTTAGATTAGATACCAGGAAAAGTTCTTTACTGTGAGGATGGTGAGGCACTGGAACAGGTTTCCCAGAGAAGCTGTGAATCCCTGAAAGTGTTCAAGGCAGGTTGGATGGAGCTCTGAGCAGGCTGATCTAGTGGAGGTGTCCCTGCCTATGTATGGCAGGGGGATTGGAACTAGATGATCTTTAAGGTCCCTTCCAACCCAACCCATTTTATGATTTTATGATTCAAGGTACCTCCTGGAGTGTAACAAATCTTCTAGGTCTGTAATTTCAGTTCCCAGAAATACATAATGTGTTGGAGCTCTGTCCTCTAGCTTGAATAGCTACAATTCTTTCCAAATAGCTGTCAAGCTGTCAGTCATGACAGAGTCATAAAGGAGAAAAACATTCATTACTTAATTACAAGACTGCAAGGCAAGGTCTAGATAATCAAGTGGATGCACAGAACCAGGTGGGAATGTGGGAGTTGGAAATGTTATACATTTACATTTGCTTTTTTTGTGGTTTGTGTTGGCACTTAAATAAGAGAAAATTTGGCATGTTTACTTGACAACATCTCTGTGCTTTGAAATCAAATTAAGATGCAGCCTATCTGTAAATGAAATGAGGAGTTAAGACTTGTAAGAACTTAGCATACTTTGTAGCATACAGGACTACATTCATAATAGGAAAAATAGCCCCAGTTAACTGCTCCAGGTTTGAAAACCTTCCAAGGTCCATTTTTGCCTAGATTCTGTGATTCTGATAGTCAAAACCTCAGTATTTTTTTTAGCAAGTGCAATTACTTCTTGTTCATTTAGGAGCAAATATTTCCTGATAAGTATTATGTTGAAAGTCTATGACTTTTAGCAACAGTGCTTACACTTCCCAGAATTTATAGTAAGCCATAATGAATCAACCTGTTAATCATCTTTTCAGGCATAAACACATGGTCCTTTCTTCCTGTTTGTATAAACAATTAGCATGTGTCATCTGGGAGTAACGTAAGGCATATTTTTGTCACAAATGTAACAGTTTGCACTTGGGTAAATTCTCTAAAATAGAAAAAAAAAAAAAAAAAAAGGCCAAAAAACCCAAACGAAACTAGACCAAAAAACCAAAACAGAAATGAAGATGGAATGTTTTCTTGAGCAATATATATGCAAAACCTGTATGAAGTGAGGTCTCCATTTACACAGGGTGCAACCCTCTTACAGGTTCAGTTTGTCTGAATGCCCGTAGGTATTAGCAGGTCATTAACATGACACATTGACAAGCGTTTGTGGAGTGGAGCAGCCACTTTTATGTGGCTGTCTTCCCTGAATGCACTGACACCTGGTCAGTACAGGAAATGCCTGTAAGGAGTTAACTGGCCTGGGGTTACCACAGCTCACCTTCATACAGGGTAAAATAACCTAGAAGGGCTGAGATTGTAGTTGGGATGGAGCAGAAAGATCGGGTTTGGAATGCATTTGAAGTGATATGAGGAATGAAGGTATTTCTCTGGAGTGCAATTCAGAAAACCGGACACATCAACATGACTCAAGTTTTGTTGGTAATGGCAAAAATGTAATATTATCATCTTGGGTAAAGCACGTGAGAAGAAGATACCTCAACAATCACTCCTAACAGTTAACACTGTTAGATCTTTGGTGTCCTTTAGACATCCCAATGGCATCTCCTGGATCTGCTGAATTTAGAAGTATGTGAGATAAGCGAAAATCTTTTCATTGTACTCAGACATCAGTGTCAACAGGCTCAGAATTTCCATGGTGTAGCAAAACAGTGCCAGAGTCCATAGTTTTCCATTTTAAAATACCGTTAAAATAAATTTCATGCTTACTAAAATATTCTAATTATTTTTCACTAAAATGAAGATTTAGCATGCATACATGATGGTCATCTGGTTCTTATGGCTAAATGGAAATCCTGGAAGAAATTTGCTAGAGTTCACTCTGATAACTCTGTGGGTAGCAAGGCCCATGATCTGTTAGAATGCCTTAATATACTTTTATATAAAAAAAGAATAATCTCTCCTTGTTAGTGGAAGGCTTGCACATCTTGTTCCTTTTCCAGTGCAAAAAGCTTGGACTGAAAAAGGCAAACTCCTACAAATGATTTAGACTGGTTCTTAAAACTGTTTGCATATTCATGTTATGGTCATCTGGTAGAACTGCATACCACTTTTCTACTGTATTATTTCAAGTATGTTGTTAGTATTATCATATGTTTCACATGCCACCTTGTGGTCTTCAAGGAAAAAGAGAAAGTTTGTATGATTTGGTAAACTGGAAATACATTTCTGTGTAAATATTTTCAGTAAGTGAAAAACTCTAGTGTAGATCCATATCTCAACCAATTTATTGAAGCCAAATTTCAAACATTTTATAAAAAGTGCCTTTTCAGGGCATCAAATACAAATTAGTTTAGAACGTGACCTTCAAGCTGAAGGTATTTATATTGTGGTAGTTGTGCTGTACCTATAGGCAAAATAAAAGAGGAAATATGCAGGATGTAAATAATTTTCATCTCTTGCATAGAAGCATGGGCAGGGAAACAACTGTGATTTAGTCAGAAGTACTGACTACAGGAACTGTTGTCATGAGAAATTGATTCTGGAAAATCTACCAAGTTATGATTATACAAAATTTTCAGTACCTAAAAAAGAGTTAGAATTTTGAACAGGATAACATTGCTGTTTTACAACAATTACGTTTGTTTTCCTGTTGCACTTTGAACGTCAAAATGGGAAGCTAATTTCATTTAAGTTTCAGTTAAATGAGAACCTCTGAGACAAATTGAGATTGGAAATTTGAGTCTAACCTGTTTCTGTGAGACTGGAAGGGTTTAAAGTTCTTTTAGGAAAATGCTCAATTTTTAAATTTATTTTTTTAAATTTAATTTTATTTATTTTATTTTATTTTTTAATTTTATTATTTATTAATTCAAAGGCTTAATCTTGGGTTATAAATATCTGTACTTAAAATTTTTAACACAGACAACTCAAAATATATTCCGTTTTCTTAAATAGTGTCTAATTTGATCAAAGATAATTGAAGAGTACAAGGGAGAGATGGGAAAGAGGGAAAAAATAACAAGGAGGAGGACAGGTAAGATGAATTTTATGCATCTGATATTTAAAAAGAAATCTTCCAGAGTTCTGGTTATTCATTTATTATGCATATGTTAGTTGCCCAATTCTTTATAATGAGACCATCAATTTGGACTGTCAGGAAGGAGATAATAGCTTTAGGTTGGCTTATGTAAAAACTTCCTAGCTTATGACTGTTGCTCTAAAAGTGTCTGCTTTTTAGGTGCTATGTCTGCCTGACAATTAAAAAAGAATTATCAGCCTTTTCTGATGTCTAAGTGTCCCATACTTCTTTGAAAAACACAGTCATTGTACATTTTGGAGTACAAACCGAGATTTTGTTTTCATGCTGTCATTGAGTAGATGCCTGCTTCTAACCTTTTGGATACCTTTTCAGCAGTCTATTTAGGTGTCAGACAAATAATACAGATGATTAATTGTTTTATTGATGGAAATGGCCAGGACAACTAGAAAGACACATATAGGAGAATAAATTGGGCTGTAATTAGGCTGTGACCTTTCAGAAGTTCTATTGTGTCAAGTTCTCGCAGGGAAGAGCTTGCTGGGAAGAACTGATTTTGTGCTGTATAAAGTAGTGACAGGATCACCTTGTCTGTCTCCAGGTGCCATCCAGCTGCTTTATCACTGCCCTCCTCAGCAGGGTCCAGGGGAGGAATATAGGATGAAGAAAAACTCATAGACTGAGATGAAGGCAGTTTAATCAGAAAAAAGGAAAGACTGCACATGGAAGCAAAAGGAAAGCAGACCTATTCTCTACTTCCCATCACAGGTGATCTCTCGCCAATGCCTGGGAAACAGGGCTTTGGTGTGCATAGTGGATTCTCTAGAAAATAAACACCTGAATGAAAAATGCCCCTCTTCCTTCTTCTTTATCTTAGTTTTATTGCTGACTACAATGTCTCCTTGTTCAGCTTGAGTCAGCTGTCCTGGCCTTGTACTCTCTCAAGCACTTGGCCACCCCCAGCCTACTGGCCTTTAGGGGTACTCACCTTTGTATGGGGTAAAATAACCCAGAGGATATTGGAGAGACTTCCTTGGTGCTGTGGGAGCAGTGCTCAGGAGTAGCCAAAACACTTGTGAGTGATACTGACACCTTCCTAACTACAGGTACAGTGCACAGCACTGAGAGCTGCTGTGGAAAGGTTGATTCCATCCCAGCCACACTCAAGACAATCTCCATTCCTTATCCATACCATTTGCATCATGCTTATGTCCCACATAATTGAATACAATTATACCTCTTCAAGCTATCCTTTTGTGTTTAAAACTCATTACTGAAATATTTTCTTAGCAACCCAGTTTATGTTGCATTATTTAAATTATCTTTATACTCAATGTACAGATTTATATATTCTCATTAAGTGTTATCCTGGGTCCCTTAACAGATATTTATTATTCTCCAATTCCATGGGCCTCCTCCACTCCTCCAAATGTTTCTATATACAGACTATGTTTTGGGCCCAGCTGCCATCCTTTTACATCTTTGTACATTCTTTGGGAGCTTGGAAACATCTCCCTTTTCTCCTGTGCTGGTTATCTTTACCAGTGCTCTGAGGTGCTCCAGGAAGGGCACTGCTGCAGGTCTGTGCTGGAATTATCTCAGTTGCAGAAAGTCTTTTGATACCTCAGCCTCCTGTGTATGTACCAAAGTTTGCTATGTTTTTCATCTGCTTAGACCCCATTTTGAATATCCAATACTTAAGTACTCTCAATTAGTTTTCTTATAGAAATGTTGCAGAAAAAAATTATTTCCAATGTAGCATATCAGGGAATAATGACTAGGGGCATCAGAATAAGAAAGCAACTAGCAAATGAAATAGGACATTTTGTGCATACCATATGAATTTGAGAAGGGGGTCGCTTATCCATGTGAGCTGTTATTGCAACGATAAAAAGGTTTTCCTCTTCTGCATTATTCATCAGTTCCTCCAAAAATCTCACACCATGTGCAGAAGCTGTTAGATGTCATACAGACAAAAGACCACTTCTTCCTTGAACTCTGAAGATCAAAGTTTTTACATTGGACTCTTAGCATGTTCCCTCAGTATAGCTCTAGATTCTGATAAGGGCTTTCTGTTGAAGGCACAGCCTGCAGGTGCAGGGCATGATATGTAAGTGTGTTTGAGCAGAGAATGTGTTATTGAGATGTGCTTTGAATGAGAGCCATGTTTACACTCAATCCTGTGAAGGGTTCCAGTGATTTCTGAAGTTTGTCACTGATGGAAGGTGTCTGCCCTCACAGCTAAGGCTACATACAGCCTTAATGTGTGAGCAGCATTTTTAAATGTAGAAATGAAACAAACCAATGAAAACATAGAGGAGTCAAAAGGATGGGGAATTTTTAGTATAAATCCTGTCTTGATGTGGCAATAGGCATGGAAAGGGAGTGAAGAAAGAATCAACATATTAGGAACATGATTTAGTGAGCACCAAAACTACGAGTGGTTCATTGAATCCTTGACTAGTGAGTGATCTGTGCTCACCTGCTGCTCAGGAGAGCAAAGTGAACTTAACCTGCAGGCTGACAGTCTGTAATGAATTCCCCTCTAGCTGCTGCACAAGAGCTGACCTGGCACTGTGTGCCACTGGCATTGTCCACACGTTGGCATTACCATCACAGCAGGGGTTTCATGCCAATACACAGCAGTGTTTAACAACAATGACCGCTCGATGTCACTGCTGTCATTCAAATCCGGACTTGAAAAGATTTCAGCTGTGTTTTTATGTTTGTGAGGATGTGAATGTGACATTTCAGATGAGCAGCTTGACACATCTTTTCAAACAGCTGTTTAATAATCAGCTTCGTGAAACACTCTTGAGGGAGGATAGATTTTTCTTCTGTGTGTTCCTCAAGTCCTTGTAGAATATAACTATAAAAAATGTTGTGATCTGAATTTCTTATTTTTTCATAGAATCCCTTTAAAATATACTCAGGGTAATTTAAGGTGCCATCTGTATTACAAATCTATGGGTAGAAGCTTTTACATGTCAGTATATTTTTAGTGACTATCCTTCATACACAAGCACATTTCATGAGATCTTTCAGTATTTTAATTTGTTACAGAGGTGTTTATTTGATGCAGTTTAAAGTATTCATATACATTTTGTAGTGCTAGAGAAGAACACATGACTTTTTGGAAGAACAGCTGTACAAAATTGTTATCAACTTTGGTAACTATTTGCCATAAACTGCTGTTAATGATTGTATTAGAGTTAAAAGATATGGAAAGTATTTTAAAATAATTGCTTGGATATTATTTCTCTCCTGGTATATTTTATAATTTGCATTTGAAAAGAAAATCAAAATAAATGCTGATCAGCTTTTGCATTAGTTGGTCCTATTTTCTGTTTCTTAAGTTCAGGTCAGCACAGAGGATTTAAGAGAGCAAGAAAGAGATTAAAGTCTCTTTCAGTGTACTCATGAATTTCAGCCTGCAGAGGAAGTGCCAGAAAGGCAGAGCCATTTAGGTGTAACTGTCTAAATCCCTGAAGAACTTTACAAAGAGTGAAGAAATTTCAGACCTACATTCATTTCTCTGAGTCAGGTATTTCTTTTATGGCCTCTGCAGAAAATGCATGAAGTCTTGAAGCCTAGACACTTGTTGACACACATTATTTACTCTTAGCATAGCTTGAGCCCTTGGGAACTTTATTTAGCTGTGAAAAAAATGGCTCTGTCCTTCCCTTCCCCTTGGTGCCAAAGCTTGTATGAGAGAGTTTGTGCTGCCTTTGCCAAAGAAGCTCTATCCTGAAGAGGGGGATATTTTTATGTATGTTTTTCATCTTGATCACTGGGAGAACAGCTTGGAAGCCACAGTCTTGCAAAAAAAGGACAACCAAAGGAAAGGTGCTAAGAACTGTGGCAGTTTGATGAAGCCCATCTCTTGAAGGATATCTTGGAAATACATTTTTAGTTGTATTCCTTAAAAAAAAACATTAAGAGAATGTACTGAACTTTCTAGACATCTAAGAGTGTGCATTTAAGGAAGGTGTTCAAAATATGAATGTGCTGCTCTGACTATTTTTTCTCAGTAGAAGAAGTTTTAATACTGTTAATAAATGCTTTCAAAAATAAGGTTTGAAATTCCTTCCATGCCTTTTGTTAGTAGAGATGGAAAAACAGAGTACAATTTGGAAATACATGACTTGAGAAATCTCATTTAAATTATTGAAAACAAAATTTAAAAAAAACCAAAACACCTTTCCGAAAAACCAGTACTTCCCTGCTGAAATGTGCCTGTTTCTTCTGTAGCAGCCATAAAGATTCAAGTTAAAGGACAGCAAAACAGGTAAGTACAAAATAGGCAGCCTTGGAAGTGGTGAATCTTAGCCCTGTGTCATTGGTTTATCTTATTTTTTCACAGAGTTTAAACTAAAAAAGGTATTTTATTTTTCCATACTATGAAAATCTAACCTTTTAAGGCCACAAAAATAACTTTTCATAGCTTTTCTTATCCAGATGAGTATTCAGTTTAATTAAGGTACTCATTCTTTTGGAATAAAATCTAAAAACAATTGTGTGGTCTTATATTTGAAATATCTTTTTTCTTTATGATTTAGATAAAAATATTGTTTAATAATGATCACAAAGAAGTTTTCAAAATCCTGTGGTCTACCTGTGCTGAAAGAAGATTTTTTGGGGGGGACCTAATTAATAAAACAAGCTGCTGAATCTCCTGCATCAAAAAACGGTGCAGGTAAGAGTGTTTTACAAATAAAACTTCACTACCATAAGTTGACAGCTAATACAATATTTGGTTTGGTGGTAATTTTCTGTCAATCATTTTTCATGTGCTTGCATTAGACTTTTCATGTGCTTGCAATTGCATCAGTTGGCTAAAATGTTGTGATTTATTTATGCTTGGCATCCATTGGAAGTGCTGCCTGCAGCAGCACCACCTGAGCCTCGACAGCTGACAGAAGCAATAAAGCAGCTGCAGGAGCAGGAGGAGGATATGTTGCATGAACTTGGGCATTACTTAAGAGGCACGACTTGTAGACTTGTCATTGGCAGATGTTTCAGAGCATTCATGAAGCCCGTTGGCCCAGAGGAGGTCAATTAATGTTGCTCTGCAATGCCATTCTAGCTGTGTGTATTCATAATGTCTCTGTTTCTTGGTGTTTCTGTGCTCTTCCCAGGAAAGTTTATCTTTGTTTTTAGGACTGTGTTGTTTTGATTTTCCAAAAAGCAGGAAGTAAGTTTTGCTTTTCTTTCTGTTGACTCCTTGAGGGTCTCAAGTGTTGACTATTCATTGAAAGCCCTGGGTTCCTTCTAAAAATTCTTCAAAACTTTAGAATATTTCAGTTGGAAGTGACTTAAAAGGATCATCTACTCCAAGTGCCAGTGACAACAAATGCCAGCACAGTTTGCCCATGAAAAGGCATGTTACAGCACTGAACAGCAGGGAGATCTCTTTCTTTCTAATTATAACTTGTACCTATATGCTGTTTTAATAAAGCCTAAAGCTCTTTAATTGGCTGTAAATAGTTTCTGTGAGAACAGGAGTAGAAGCAACAGCTTGTCAAATAAACAAGGTTCTATTCTCAGTTTTATCTGGGGCTTCCCTCAGTATAAGATCAACCATAAGGGCTCTGTGTGTGATGGGTTTTTTTGGGTTTGTTTTGAATTTTTTTTTGTTTGGTTGGTTTTTTGCCTCCTATATGCTTCTCATTCAAGATTTTTGCTTTTTATCAAAGTCCCATTCTCTTAAGTATACAATGACTTTGTTTTTATTGTCTTGAAGAGTCTGATATGTGAATAACCTAAACAAGTATAGATGTCTTAATCTAAACAAGTCATTAGACGCCTTTTATGGTTTGAGTAGAAAAATCATCACCCCTGAATCCAGTTATCTCATTCTAAAGTAGATGCCAAGGACACATGCTTCAAAAGTGCAATTTCTGCATTTTCTTTCTACCTGTACAGTTGTAAATTCAATTTGTTGTTAACCAGTGCCAATTCAAACAATTTATGAGAGGGATATTTAGTTTGTGAAATAATTCAACCTGCAATGGACTATAACTGTTGTTTCCACAGTCAGTGTAAACTTCTGCTCTTGCTTTTGGTAAACTAAATTTTTGGAGACTGGGTTCTCTTCCCAATTATTAATGTAGAAGGGCTTGCTAAATTTTAAAATAGCCCACTGACAACCTGCTACCTGCACTCTGTTGATTCTTAATGTCTTAGCAGTATCTGGAAGATACCTGAAGCCTCATTTCCAGAGACACATTTTCCAGGGCCCTGTATTATATTTCCAATTAAATGCAGCAGTATCTTTGCTGTGGCAGCTACTCTATGGAAAAGGGGATTGTGTTGTTCCCTGCTGTTCTGGAAGTAGTTCATTAGCAATTATGATTGCTGGTGTCCTTGATTGATAAGAAAATATTGTTTGAAATTTAAACTTTTCTTTTCTCTGAAGTATGAAAAAATAACTAATTTCTCCAGTTAAATCTTGCGAGACATTTAAACAGTTGCCTGAAGTGCCGCTTCTGTTTAACAATTTAAGAATGTAGGATGGATATGCCTTGCACTAATCCGAGCCGTAGTTTCCATTCTGTCTCAGGACACTTTGTGGCAGCTTGACCATTAATGCACTTTGCATTCAGAAGAGTGCTGAGTAAGCTAATGCTGCATCATCGTATTGTTACACACTATTCCACATCTGTCAGGCAGAAGGACATAACTAAGCTACTGACAGAATGCTCAGGCAAGCAGCTTTTTTACGAGTGAAGCACTCATGATGATTTAGTGAGGAGTTATATTCCTTGCTTTGAAACTCTATCTCTGCACATAAAAATCACATTTAAATTATGCCATACTCCTCCAGGCTAACATCAGAACACCCCTTTGGAGGCCAATTTTTAAATGAGATCTCAATTTTTTTCTTTATTCTGTATGTCAATAAAGCAGCAGAATTCCCTGACTATTACAGGTAAGTGCTATTGTGAGTTAAATGCTGAATCAACTGTTTCATGTTTTGGAAACCATGTCTGACCTGATTTTAAACACAGTGTTAATAGAAATAGATGAAAGTTTACTATTGTTGATAAAAAATTACAACGTGGGGGAACTTCCCCTACTATATAATTTTATTAGGTACCAGATTTTCCAAGAAGCCATGAAAGGTTTGATCATGAAAATCAGACTTTCCTTCACTGCAAAGGAAATATCTCTATTCATAACAGACTGTCTTCCAGTGATTTTATAGCACCAAAAACATTAATGCACTGGCACTAGGCCCTCAAAAGTACTCTATGAAATGGTTCTTTTGGGAATCATGTCTATGCTAATTGTATAATAAATTCAGGAGTATTTTTAGGAGCTGCTATCACAACCAGTTATTGCCGTGACAGCATGTTCTTAAATATTCTTAAAATTTGCAGATTTTAAAGTTATTAATGATTTCTTACTATCTCTTCAGCAGCCAAGTGATTTCAAGAGGGTCAAATAAATCTGTACAGAGGCTAAGCTGGTATATAGCATATGTGTAGAATCTGGAGATGTAGATTTTTCAGTTCAGAAGCTGTTGTGGACTGAAAGCAATAGAGAAATTCTTCTGTTTGCATGCAAAAGAATTTTAAAATAAGATAGATACTCATATATCACAGAACATGAAATAGAAGGGACATGCAATGACCATCAAATCCAACTCTAAAGTGAATGGCCCATACATAAAATAATGTTTTGGCAAAGTGTATCATGTAACCTAAAATACTTGAAAGCAGAAAACATTCATGTCGTATAACTAAAGAAATAAAAGACTGGGGAAGAGCTTGTTTGTTTGTTTGGTTTGGGGTTTTTTTGTTGTTGTTGTTGTTTTTTTCAGTAATATGAAGGCAGGTCTTATGGGAAAGGAGATAATGACACTTATTGTCATTTTTATATGACACAAATTGTCAGTTTTAGTGTCACTGCAGCAGTGAAGGGCAAGGCTGGTATGTTGGGATGCTGGGCACAGCCCTGTCCTGGAGCCCTTGCAGGGCAAAGAGGTATTTGTGATACCCATGAACTCCATTATAAAGTAAACTTTGTAGGTAATGAGATTAAATATACAGATTCACTCTTTTGCTAACACTTTATACTTTATGGATACTGCTACAATGTGATGAGACTAAGGTTAAATATATCCTGCCAGGAAAATTGTGCGTGATTGATTAAAGCTGGTATACCAAGCTTTATAGATAACGTCTTTCATTAAAATAAAATTTAGCAATTACAGCTTCAAGTTATTAGTGTTCATAACAGAAAAAAT